TGCTGCATTGTTACACGTTGTTTGACTAATGGCTCCAATGCCCGTGTCCAGCCTCTGCAGAACTGCCCTCAGGTTGAGCTGTTTTCCCCTTCAACTCGATTTCTTGTTTTTCCGTCGTGACCTGTTCATTACACCTTCTGGATTCTGAATTGAATCCAATTTCTCTTTCTTCAAAAATTGAGGCATCTCGCATTGTCACAGGTGTTGACTGCTCAAAAAAGACACCTTAAAACAGTAGGTAGGCAATCCATTGTTGAGAACCGAGCAACGTACTAACCGAAGTAAGAAGCTCACTTACACCTAGCTACTTAGAAGTGCTCCGGTCTAGGGCTTATCCCTAGCAAAGCGCTAGAACACATGGAAAGGGGCTGCTCTTTATTGCAAAGTTGCTGGATTACCTAAAGATCGTTTTTTTAAAAGTATGGTAAGAATGAATCCTGGTTGTAAACGAGCACCTGCTATCACCTTGAGAAGTAACTCCTATCCTTCCTCCAGCCCCTCCGACAGGTTTATACCGTTAATATCATACAAGTTTCTGGAGGAGTGATCACTGCATACGGGCATATTACTTCCTGTGGGAATCCTGACCCATTTAGGAAACATCGTTGTCTTTATGGAAAACTAGTTTTGGAAGGACTGCAGTCGAATTATCGTGACTAATATAAAGACAAAAACTGCAGATCATAAAAATAGAGAAACCTTCGGTTTGATTATGAAAGAAAAGGTGTCGTAAGTGATCATTGGCTCCTTCTATGCACTATATTGCCTAACTATTTGCAAAAGATCCTCTCGAATTTACTCATAGAGTCCTTTCCGTTACTGACCTCCGATTTTCGGCTTGCCAACACTGAAATCCGAGCAGTATCTTTGTGGCACAACAGCTGCGACTAATACGAGCGGTTCGTCAATCTCACACCGTTTTTCTTCCACCGTCCGACACGACCGCAGTTGTAATAACAGCGCCTCTCATCACACCTATCACTCAGACAAAAAACTTTTCCGTTAGAACACACATTTTTCAGATGAAAAACTGGTTCAAGTGAACCCTAAACATCTGGGTGCACCTGAAGAATGGTGGTGGCAAAATTTGTCTCACCAAATTTTTGGATGCAAAATTGAGATTCTTCAATGTTTCCCTCGATAAAAAATCGCATTTTTACATCAATCGATCCCATTTCTGAAAAATGTAGCGCATTCGACTTCTAGATGACGATTTGAAGGAATATAGGGTCTGTACAACGGCTTGGGATGGTCAGCTAATGAGCAAGTAAATCCCACCTTTTTCCTCCCAGACAGAGCGGTACCATTAACAAACTGGGAATAGAGGTCGTTTTCCTTTGATCCAATACTCAGTCAGTTGTTTGAGCTGTGCTTTCTTCGAAACAAGAAGACATTTGATCATTCGAAAATTGTAGTCAAAGGCGAATCTTTGTGAGGATTGTGCTGATAGCACCGTCTGTTACTGTGGTCTCTGATGTGATGTGGAAGCAAAGCGATAATGCCCAGACTTCAATAGCCGCTTCTACCCATTGTTGCCCTCATCACTGGTGTCAGACCCTCTGGTTGAACAGCTGGTATTAGAGTTCTTCAGGACATCTAAATTTTAAAATAAACACCTGCCATGTCATGTCATGGTGCTCAATCCTATCAAAACTTAGGCACATTTCAAGGGTACTATTCATCGAAAAATACTTTAACCTCCTTGCTGCTTGTACTTCTTTCAACAATTATTCTGTTTGGCTTGTCCAGCCCATAGCCTGCAAAGCTTACTAACACTTTGAAAGTATAGTCTTCGGGCGATCAATCTCGTCTGGAGGGTGCGCCCCGCATCCGACTTCCATTTAGAGTCGTAGTAGCGTATTGAATGCGTATGTGGCTCATACAATGACCAGTAGAGGCCAACCGTTGCACAAGTCAGTGCTTTTATCCTCCCAGACGAGTCTGGTACCAATCAACCGACACCGAAGGGATGGAAGGCTTGGTTGGCTTAGACTCATATCGATCCAGGATTTCATTCCGAAATCGTGCCTTTGTGATAGTGCTCCACTTCCCACGACACCACTTTCTCCTCAGATTGACACAAGAATGAGTAGATTACACAAGCATCCCTTGGATCTTCACATGACACCAGTTGCCACTACCTAACTAACTTTACGATGTTATCATAATCATCTAGTAATGATTGACGGTTTTTGAGTTAAGATTGACGCTTGGGTGATTTTTGGTCCACTAACAGCTCTGGAAAACACTTTATTTACCCATAATCCTATATCCAGCTTTTGCCTATTTCGCTGCCAACTATGAGTGGAAACAGTGCAACTTTTCGAAATAATAATTCTGAGAGAGTGAAAAATTAAATTTCTAGGTTTATATCTGCCTAGAACCCAACTAGGCGGGATCAGCCTTCAACCATTTTCGCCAGATCAGTGGAATGCGAGGGATAACATGAAGCGAATCGGGAGGAAAGTATGCCTAGGTCTCCGAGATGGTCCTCTCTATAGTAGCCGGCTATTTTGAATTCCTCAAGGGGTTGTTAAACATCGAAATTTTAATGTCTAGGCATTGATCCACTTCCTAGAAGAGAGACATACTGATACGAAAATCAACTAGTCCTCGAAATTTCCTAAAAGACCCTGAATGCAGAAAATGACCTCAATTCCAAGAGCAAGGGAACTGACCGATTACCAGAGAAGATGTCAAGGAAAACAAAAGTCTGAAGGTGATTATTCACAATTCAAAGACATCTTCTGCACTAGTACCTAGCTTTGCCGGCTACTGAGAATGAACTCAAGGCAGGAACGATCGGATTATGAGAGCTCATATGAGGTGCTACCAAAGCGGAAGAAAGTTCGCAAACAGCGCCATAACTCTCAGAAAACATGGAATGACTCTTGCACAGGGGAAACTGCCATCGAGTGGGCATATGCTCCCAGGTGAAGATCGATGATTGTATAACCGAAAGCTGCTTTGCCTGAAGAGGTGGGGTAGAGATGCTACACATATGTATATGGTCCCAGAATCAAATTTAGACTGATTTCCACTAACGTTTGTCTTCAGTGAAATGAGCCCTCTTTGGACAACCCGGGTCTCCCATGGATTGCGCCCCAAAAGTAAGTGACTACCGTCGGGATCAGTTTCCTGCGATTTAAATCTTTCCACTTTATGATTCCCCATCTTTCACCCACTGCAATGGTTGGTGATTACGAATACCTGACTAACGGCCCACTGCAATATCACCTGTCTACGGTGGATTGTTTTGATCAGGTGTTGTCGGTGCATCAGTAGCATGCAAGCAGCTGTCCTGACTTGCTAGACACTGGCAACATGCTGTCTGTTACTCTCCATCGTCGCCATGAGCCCTTGTGCAGACCGATGAGATCGCATGTGTCCATTGCCGTTAAAAACAATACGGTTTTTCCAAGTCCCCTCCTTTTGATATCTGTTTCCTCTCATTGACATTTGCCACTACAAACAAACTGTTTCCGACACTGTTTATCATTACAACAGCAACTTGATTCCTTCTTGACTTATTTATCTATTCATTTACAAGTATACCAGTCTTCAAATTAAGCGATTCCTTTGTCTTTCCAATAATTTATTCAGTAGGAATCGTACATTCCGTTCATAGATGCTCACCCATTCCTGTTGAAGGCATAGTTCAGGAAGGATGTGTTCTGCTTGCGAAATTCCCCCTAGGATTCTGTAGCCCCCGAGTAGGCTATATATGTGGCGCTGTTAGGGCGAAAATCGACATAGGTAAGGCACAACTAGAGCTCGAAAGTGGTTTCCACTGTATGCCCCCACCCCTAGACGTGACCGTGTTTTAAAGACCTTTAAGGACTGTACTACTCACAATGGAGCACACATGCTGCAAATTTAAAGCGCTGGCCCTTACCAACCTTCACTATCGTTGGGGGTGATGGAAAGCTTTTTTGCATACTTAATACCACTTAATATCCAAATACCACTTCTATGCCGCTCTCGTCGTCATAATGTCGTAAAACATACTTATCCTTTCTATAGACTTTTCAGTAGCACTATCTACTGTAATATTTCTCGAAAAATGCCAATCTTTGGGCCTCGTCGCCACTCTTGTATTATATTATTCTGCACCGTCACTTGCACCTGTCTCACTCAACTAGATACATCAAAAACATTGTAATTCATGCCTTTAAGCATCTTGCCGTGTTGTTTGAAGGTCTACTGTGAATATTTTTCTTTAAAATGTCCTGCAGATGCATATATGTATATGTGCACTGCTCTATAAACATTGCTTACATCCAGCCAGACGAGTTTGGTAGTAATTGAAGGTGTTCGTAGGGATGAAGTACTCCCGGGATTTCATCCTATTGCGTACATGTGGGTGGCAGCTATGCCGATAAGCATCATCCAGCTAATATCCTATTCCAAATTTCGAATCTTCCTCAGCCATTTAATGGTATGGCCATGACCTTCGGTGTAGTCCAAGTCAACAGATTTCCCATCAACAGAGCATACTGTGAGCGACGTATGCTTATTAAAAAAACAGGCTCTTCAATTGTTTTCAATGAATTAGTACATCGCAGTGATTATGAACAAAATGATCCCAGCCATTTTACGACTTCCATTGTAGGAAAGAGCAAACAGGAGACTTCACTTCAATCGAGCTGACGAACCGATTACTTTTTTATTAAAACTTAGATCTGCAGTGAAATTTAGCATTGTCATTGAACAATTCTTCGTACTGTTTGACTTTGCCAACATATGGCGATATTTGCTTCACCGAGTGAACTGGGAAGTGTACGCTACAGTACTGGAGCATGTGCACGTGCACATTTGCTGATTCTTCTTCTGTTTCAACTCAGATTATATGTTTATTGTCACCAATATAAGGTTTTAGTAAGAACTGATAAAACTCTTCTCGAAGGGCACGGGAGCGCTCGAACTTGATTAGTGGGTAGCTTTATTTCTGTGGAAATAAATGACAAACAATCCCATGAATATCATTGAGAGTGGAATCCTTAGAAAGGTCTAGTCATATTAGTAGAATTGGTCATATTTGTGGAGTTTCCGCCAAAGTCTCCTCCATCATATCCATATCCGAATCCTCCGAGTGCATAGATAAGACCAATTAGGACACTAACGACCTATAACACTGCCTTGTATACCGTTCCTCAGAGTAAACTCACTTGCCAAATTTCCAACCTGATAGAGAACGCCAGCGACAAGGTCTGCACTTATAAAGTAAATCTCCTCATAGTCCTGAGTTCCATTTCCACCTCTTGTGCCATTGCCACCTCCTGTGCCATTGCTGGTGCCATTTCCACCGATAGTACCATTTCTGGTACTGTTACCACCAACTTGGCAAGCAACATGGTAGACGGCCAAAGCAGCAATAAAGGCAACAACGTGGTGGAACATTCTGGAATACGTCGGGGTACGACTGTTCGGATCAAATAAGTCATCTGCAGTACCACTGCTGGCGCAGTGACTGGTCTGTCGCCGAATTCGAACAAAGAAATCCGGTACAGGCCCAAAGGAAGAATCAAAAAGCAGTTTAATCTGTCGAAAACGAAAAACCGCTGTCGGAATTCATCTCGACCATGAGCAGGTGGATGTTCCTGGTCAAGGAGAGTTCAACGACGCCGACTACGTACAACGAAGGCTCAAATCTGGTTGGAATTCTGAAGAGTACCTGGAGGATTCGTGTGGGAGAGCTTGCCAAGTGGAAGCGAAGAGGAGAAGATGTGATGGCGAATTCAATATGTTCCTCTTTTATACTACCGACTTTATTTGCTGTAGAGTATTAGGATCTAGACCAGTATTTTATATTCAGTATTGTTTCGAAAACATGTTTATCGTACCGGATTGTGAATTTCATATGGGTTATATGTATGACTACGAAGTATTGAATGTTACCATATACAGACTTGTACTAGTTCGCCCCATCCTATGAGCAGACCAAGCGGAAACTCCTCAGAAAAAGTATGGAGTTCGACTGTAGCACGGTAAATGGTCGGCCAAAATGTATTTGCCACTCAGAGAGCATAACTTCCAATTCTCATGACGCTGTCTAAACAGAACCACTTAGTTCCCAACAAGAGCCCTCACTCAAAAAAAGGCTCTTCCAATAATCCACGAGCAAATGAATCTCCTCGTCTGAAAATTCATCATCATTTAAGGGGCTTTTCTTAAAAGTGTTTGGACGACACCCTTTTCTCAAAACTTTTCTCTCCGAGAACGAAAGTATTATTTTGAAATCAAATCGAGTAAGTGCGGCTCAGTGCATCTTGCATCTCGCCCTAGCGTTGCCACGTTCATAGATCGGCACTTATCGACTTCTAAAGCCAAGCATCATTGTCCCTGCTTTTGGTGCATTTCAAAAATTTTCCACCATAGGATTCCGACATTCTTGCCTGGACCCTTTTATCGACTCCGTAATGAGTTGCATGGTTATTCAGCGTAGTTTCTTGAACGCTCCGAGCTCAGCTACTGAGCCGTCTTTCAGAGAATGTCTGTTGTACCCTTCAGACCGTGCATCATCTTCAAGTTTTCCATGCCATTCCTTGAACCTGTCGAATCAGTACCGCATTGTCGCCTTCTTCAAAAGCATTCCATCCAAAGCACTCAACATAGTTCATGTTGACCTTGAACCTGTTTTCAGGGTTTATCCAAACGATCATAACGAAACTTCCCAAGAACTAACGCTATTGCCAATTTGTCTGCTTATGCTCCGACCTTGCAGTCTTTTTAGAGTTAGCATGTAGAAAAGGCACTTAAGAAACAACTTGTGCCAACACTATCTTCCCTCCAGACAGGCTGATAACTTCGCGGAAAGAAAGTGGCCAATCAAAATGGGATGGAACGAATAGCTTTCAAGCCGATTTCATCTCCCCGGGCTCTGAAAAAGGCGTTACATCAATGCATCAACTTTAGCATTTTCTCTACTGTGAATTGCAGATAAAATATGATCACACGGAGCATGTATGTAGCTGACGTCGGTTTTTTTTTTCATTTTCGACTAGGAGCTGTCCTGCCTCTGAGGAAGAAAATCCTTGCACATTCCCTCTGTTAGAAGTGCACTTTCTTGTAGATCACAACGAACGAGTTCTGGGCAGCCATTTACGACCTCCTTGACACTGTATTCTGAAACCTCGAGCTCATTGGCATCCTCCTCATACTATTCTCCGTATACAGGAGATCCTCTTTCTGAGGTTTCCTCGAACCGCGGAGCGCTGACAGCCTTTTTACTTCTTTGTGAGGTGAGAGCTCTTCGAAACGACTGATAGTCTTGGATACTAATCAAAATAGGAATTCAAAATACAAAATCGTGATCCATGTCGACAGCGAAAGGCAGTGGTCATTTTCAAATTAATGTAGCCAGCTTTTGATGCAATAGCATCAAGTGAAATCTCGTCCAAGACCACTTTTATGCCATTTCCATCACGGTAATCTCGTACAACACTATTTTCACCACTTTCGAGAACCCTGACATCTGGGGGTTTTCTCGCTTCGTTCCTCACTATTTTCCATCGATATTTCCGTTTTTCAATTCCAAAGAAGACCTCAAAATTATTGTAAGCTGCGCCTTCGAATATTTTTTTTTGTCGTAAGTCCGACTTCAAACCCTTCTAGGTTATTCTTTGGTACTGATAAAATGGTGCTTTGCGAGTTTTTCACCACGCCACTGTTTTCATATTGCAAATATTGGCATCTGCATAAACCTGCCACCCGATCTGATCTATGCTGAACTCCTATTTCACGACATAGTTCGATCATAAGTACACCATATGTCTGGTTCAAAAACATACGTTCTGATCTGAAATGCATGTGTGCACGAAACATCAAGGCTAATGCCTTCCCACTCTTATGGTCAGTAGGTGAGTAGGTAAGGAGAATATAAACAATTCTGGTCATTGCCATGCAAATCTGTTTCACAATTAGGGAACCTCGAGCTGCGAAAACAGAGCTCACATCTTCATCTCCGGAGTGTATTACAAGGATGACCGATTAGTCGAAATCTTGGAACGGTTGGATTATCAGTCAACACCCGCGTCAGTGTTCCCAGTCACACATCTCTTCCTATACCTACTGGATCAATCTTACGGGAGAGGTGACTTTATTGATCCGCCACATGGTGACCGAGTCAAGGCATAACAACTGTAAGCGTCACCAAATTTATGAACTCATATCAGAAGTGCGAACGAAGATGTAGAAATAGGATGGAGCTCTAGCCACACCTAAAGTAAACGCCGTTCGGGAGCACCAGCCAAAAACGAGACGATGGAAGCTTGAATGTTGCCCGAGCTATTCTAGAAAAGCATCTATCGTAGTTCCAGACTCGCCACTTGGTCCAAAAGAATTCTTTCTTGGTAGGCAATATAAGCGCTGATAGGTTACTTTCTACGAAATCTGCCCAGAAATAGCTGACGATTTCGAACCGTTTGTATTCAGAGAACGTGGGCCCCCAACATTGGATAGGAGGAGACAAATTTTCTCTGAGCAAAAGGAACTGTCTGTTTGGGCTTTCTAACAATAAGTTACTTGTCCTTTCATTGATTATTTCGATCAATATGACATTGTGGAAATCGGGGATGTCCTGGGATTGTGAGCTTCTCCAAAGAGTGTTCTCATATTTGACCTGCACAGGATTTTTAAAGCATGAATATGTTGATGAAGCTTAGGCTTAAGGTGAAGTCCTTCGTAATAATTAAAAAAGGAACCAGTACCATGGGTGGGATTGGTTTCATAACTTGATTTTTCTTACTTGGAGAGTCAAATGGCATACATTACAACGAAAAGCATTTCTAAAAAGCGCCCAGACACGAGTCTCGCTTCGATGATCAATCCGAAGAGCAACCCTCGTGGTCCTTACGCCGTTCTTGAGAGGCACATCTCGCTGTAATTTATGTCATTTGGCTCTCTAAATGAGGAAAATCATGTAGGAAAACTAACTCCACACATTTTTCAAAGGACTACACCTGTCGTCAAAGATGTATCGACATATTGACCCTCCGACGGTGCTCTGTATCTGACAGAGTTGAGGACAAGTGCTAGACAGATCAATCAGCTTGAGAACATAACCCATAGTTTGAATGGCATGTCTCAGGGAAAAGAATGATCTAATCTAGGGAAATGAAGATGAAAAACGCCAAGAGAAGGTACTGGAAAAGAAATGGGGTGCTTCCAACAAGCGCGAAGATTTTCGGAAGATTCCGCGATTCGCGCCTATGATCATCTGAGCGACTTCCTCTATATGAACTGTTCTGTAGAGTTTGTACGCAGCTCCCAAAGACTCTCTGGAACTTTCTGGGCTGGTGCCCTGATACGATAAGGTTTCATTTCTTCAACTAGTCCCATAAGCCTAATAAGTATCTACAGCGCATTACAGAGAATGCTTGATTCCCTTCCATTCTGCAAGTCATGTATGTGTACTTATGGTCAACAGCTCAAGTTTTATTGTGACGGAGATGGCGGCTGGCTCTACCTTTTACCAGCCGATCTCAAGCTTACGTTTGCAGCAGTAGCATGGGCTGCTTTTCATGGGTTCCGATACTTCCACCCGGCTGTCCTCTCCGATCAGAGCACAGACTGGGAATTTTGACCCATTCACACCCAGGCTTGTACTAGAAGGAAGAATTCAATTGAGTTATTACAACCTGAGGAAACAGCCACAGATTGTGATAACTTGATGGCCTTTCGAATAGCTCATCAATAGCCGCGAGTTTTCGAAGTTTACACAATCATTCTGTTCAGCTCGGCATTTTCTTCTCCTTCTTCTCAACTTCAACTAATTCCAATATTGTGTTGTTTAAAAAGCAAAGCTGATTTGCCGCTTTTTGAGTGGACCTTGGATTTCTTATACCCTGACCCCCAGCAGTTTTTCCACATCTGTGGATGAGCTGGGGTGGGGGTATTTGTGCCTACCAACATTCGTCAAATAATTGACACAGCATCAGTTTAGTGATGACGTGATGTTTGTCTCCTACTATCTGCCGTCACTGACGCACGCAGCCACCTGCTGCAACTTGTCACCTTGTCATCACTTTCTTCCCATCTACTTTGCTTTTTACTTTTCTGTAAAAACCACGCTTGTTCTTCGACGTCCTCTTGCAATAAACATCAATATAAGCAGTTCGATGGATGGTATGGCTTAGTGGATGTGTTGCATACACCTGGCGGCAGTGAGCTAGCTGCCTGCGTGCAAGGTGTGGGTCTCGGTGTGAATAGTGCAACCTCTACAGCTTTTAAGATGCTCAACAACTCGTACGCCATATCTTACTGTTTTTCGACCCGACAGCGGCGCTTAGACTATACTTGGGAGCTGCACATTCATCCTATGCAGAAATCTCGGTAATAGAAATGTTAAATCTGTACGATTCACTAGTACAATCTCGGATCAATGTTTCTGCAGACCAACAATGCCTTCATCCATTTTATGTAACTGAATTAACGTCGAACCCTTTGAGAGAATGGGTACAATGACATCTTCTTGCCCCCACAAGTTATTGCGTTGGTTACATGCCAAGACAGATATGGTTAGGGGCAGATAGAAAGGCCCCCAACCATGATACTAAATGGAGTCAAACGTTCGGTGCATCTCAAAATGGGTATTCACAAGTTTAGATACCTATCGAAAGCCCCAGATTCACTATTTTCTTCAGCCAAAGTCTTTTCGTTATCCAGCTAACATTTCGGTTGATGAACTACTCTAACCTGAGGAACTCCTGCAGGCACTTCCAATTAAGCTAATGTGCCAGATTTGAAGCGATTTCTTTATCAAGATCTAATTCTGTGAATCCCTCTGCATACTTTCGGATATTTATTTCTCTCAGCGATCAAATCAATAACGATTCAGAATGTTTGAGAAACATTGGTTGTACTGTCAAGAAATTTCTGTTTAATATTGCTTGTGTAAAATAAAGTGGATGAAGTCTTTGGGCATTGATCAACTCCGTCTGGGATATGCCCCGCATTCGATTCCCATTCAAACTCGTAGTGACGTATTGAATCCGTGTGTGGCTCATACAATGACTTGCTGTGGCTAGCCAGTGTATAAGTCCGTGCTTTTACTTCCAGACGATCGGGTCCCGATTAATCGACCCGGGAGGGATGGAAGGCATGGTTGGAATAGGCGGATTACCCCAAATGGGATTGATNCAGTTTATCCTTGATTGTCTGTGCATGAATTTTTGTTGATTTTTTTTTGCCTTGACTTCTAACAAAATTGAAATTGAACCTTGTCACCGTAATTTCCAGTCGTTCCAAAGTGGGACGAGTGAAGCCGAACCTCCTAAGACCATGAGACTTTTGTAAGCCATATCGGCTAGGCACACCCCTGCTGTTTGGAAAGAATCATGTATTTTTTTAATAATTAAATCTTTTTAGTACAGAATAAACAAAATTTTCTCAAAGAGAGATAAAATGCCAAAAGCAAAGATATAGGCTCTAGTGGGGTATTTTAGAACGCTAGGCTTTTTTCGAATAATCGGAACTTTATTTCTGATAAAATAAATGCCCTAGCAATAATTCTAAGCAGTGCCGGATCCCAACATGTCCACATTACTTTGGTTTCCAGGATTGTCACCGAGTCCTTGAATTTCGAATATGAATTGTAGGAGCACTTTGACCACCTATAAAAAATTCTATGCAGATGACGGTTCAGCTAAGACAATGTTCTGTTTCCCACAAACAACACCGCTTCAGTAATTAACCTGAGTGAGAATCCCAACGACGAGGTACGTAGGCACTTCAGTATATCCAGTGTCATTCCTTCCTCCGTAGACGAATTCACCGTTGCCGCTATAGTCGAGTATCACTCCATATGCTTCGGTATCATTCGTGGTAACACCGTCATCACTTCCATAGTCTGGATATTCGTCAATGGCAGAGCTGAGAGACAGAAGGGACAATGCGAGAAGAGCCATAACATCATGGAACATGCTGAAATACTTTGAACTAGAGTTGCGTTCTATTCGAAAACCGGCCTTCCCAGATTGCCGTTCGGGTCCGGGGATCTGAATGAAGTATACTACCGGCCACCAGCATCCATTATTCTGATAGGTGGAATTCCTATTCGATATGAACTCTGCGAAAATCAATACAAATTACAAGCTGAAAGGAATGGGACCCTAACCAGGACCCTACGCTTTTAAGTTGCACCAGCAATCTGTAGATGGGCTTATAAGGCCGTGTATATCCTCTTGATTCGAAACCGTACAGACTAAGCTTAGGAGGACCTATTCAGCTAAGGATCTAGCGCTTTTGTTTATCTGTTGTTGTTTTACCTGAAGTAGCAGGCGTGCGCTAGACACCTGAACGAGGGGAAGAGGCAGTGAGGCCAACTGCAAGTGATTTCTTTTGTACCACAAAACTCGGTTGTTGTGTTGCATTTGTAAAAAGCAGTCGAGTAAACACAAAACGCAACACACAACCTTGTTGTTGCGACAACAACCTAATCCTGACCAAATTTGAATACTGCGTTCCAATTCTGACACAGCACAAAAACAAATGTAAAACGCAAAGGAAGCGTCAGAAATATCAACTTCCCATTATTTTAGAACCATGTTCGGGGTCGCGATCGGACTCCGTTGGGCGATTCGGCTAAAGCGGGGAAGCTGGGCAGGGTCAAAAAATGCTAAAGCAAGTCCAGTCGGTCTGTCATAGGCTCTTTAATTCTGTGATTCCTTCCGCTGCCACTGTTCAATCGTCTGCACAGTTTGCGATTCCAGATACAGTGGGCCCTCCTCGACGCAGTGTATGCTATTCGCCTGATCCAGTAAATGCCGAAGTGAATTCAAAAGTTCCTTTAGCTCCGATTTCGAATCGACCAATCGTAACCCTTCGCGAACCACAGCCAAGAGCCCGCTGTGATAAATGTGAATAGACCATGCCGCAGACAAAGGTTGCTACCTCCGTACAATAAGCTAAGTTACATCTGGGTTTGCAGATGGTTTGGGTAACCCTGAGGGGTGGTACGTCGAGCACATGCAATATAGCAGACTTACATACGGAAATCCTACACTCAAAAAGGCAGCATGACCCTGAAAAAAAGGCCTATATACGATGATCCGAGTTCAGAGTTTGAGAAACAGAAAGCGGAATCCTCTGACAGCAATGAATTCGTGTTATTCTTGCGAATACACTTTTCAAAGTATCCAGGAAACCGACTGGTATCCACAACTGGTAGAGGATTTCACGAGTCCATGTCTTCGTGTTTATGTACATGAACCCATGATTGCTCCAACATGAAAAGCGACTTGCTGAAAAAGTCCCATCTGAGGCGAAACCTTCTGAAAAAGAAAATCCTCTGGACAAAGTAAGATTGTTAACCTCATTCGAGCTATAAGACTCTACCAACATCTCAAGATTCTAATCGTTAAAAGGAAGGAAGGCTGCATGCTCGGTGAAGAAAGGTAGATTGTATCTGCATAAAGCTGCTTAGAGGATCCGGCATTGCTCGGAACTGTGATAGTCAGTTGAATAAAGAATTAGAGGAAATACTATAGAACATTTCTCACTCTACTAATAAATATAACTCAATTTCAATAACACTATAGCTTTTCACCATGCTCATGATCAATCTTCTAATCCTTTTCTGGAAAAGTAAACAGTCATAGATCCGATCTTTCTTCGAACTCCCTATCTTCATCCACACTGTTAATATGCATTTGATCCTAATTAATCGATCTAATCTTTCTGACAAAAGTGTCGAGACTACCTGAATCTTTCCCTGTACTGATCTACTGACCTTTTACCTATCAATAAGCCAATCGCGTTATTTGAAGTTCGAACCTTGGGCTGGCAGTAAAGTAGTTGTATATATTTTATGAAATCATAATTGTCTATTATTCATAAAAAAAGAGTACCCATTTGGTTATTTACTGATCACAAAATACTAACTCTCCTCCTCTATAATATAAATCACTTTGAAAAACAAAAAGTTTATCCTTAAGATAAATGTTTGAAGTGCCAGGAAAATACAAAGTTTCTTAGTTGCCAACGTAATAATTTGATCTGTTGAAACTTCTTGCCCCTCGGCTCTCTATGTTACAGAACCTCCTTCTTATTACCATATTCATCAATGTGCGGGCTATCTTCAGCCATGGGCCTAGTGCATCGCTCCATTGCCGTCCACCGTGGCTGACTTCGTTGTTTATTCTGTATACCTTGCTGCCTTCCGGGGCTATTTAGTCCCACTTGCCTCCGTTCTATCTCGAAAGTTTTACGTCTTACTCCCATTACCACTTAAACAATTCGAGTCTTGGTCTTGACAGTGACGAACCCACCCAGGCAGAATACTCTACTACAATCGATTTTCACTTGCAAGACATTAACGGCTAATCATAAACAGGCGCTCTCATTTACTTTAACGACCGCTGTCAAAAAGCTCTCCGCGATCAACATCTGACTTCGCACCTCTGGTATTAGTATTTCCTTTTTCTAGCTGCTTGAACTCTCTATCATTTCCGGGAGTTCAAAAATTTGGAGGCCGTCTGGTTCATCTTTGTTCCTGTGCCAAGGGCTGTTAAGAGCAATCTGAAATGTTATGGGGCATGGAAGACATACTTGATTTTGGATAGTTTTGATGTTAAGATACCTACTAGACCTTGCCGATAATCGATCGATCGATTGTCGGCAAGAGCTAGTAGGTATCTCAATATCGGTATCGGTACAGGATCGATTTACTAATCGTAAAAGGAACGTCTCTGTTAAAAAAACCCTGAATGTCTTGAAGGCAGCACTACAATTGGGGCAAATGCTGAGCTGACCCTTAGTTTCCTTGTTCCTTTTATCGAAGCATCTAGTGGGAGGAAGGCTGAATAGTCTTGCCACACTACCACCGTGACCATTGCTAGCAAAACTCGACTAATCTGACGGTTGCATCGATTCCATGACTATGCGGTGAACTCGAAAGCAAGATCAACCCCAGAATTACAATTGTCCTCGCAGTTCAGTGAGGTTGAGTTTGATGTCCTCCTTCCCTCATTGGTTGTATCACCTTGGGGCACATAAAGCAGTGCTTTTGCAATTTCGAAGGAAACAGTTACTTTTCATGCCCAACAAAACCTTCGATCTCCGACGCGACGCTCGGTCACGACATCTTAGGAGTACGTACTTTTCGCTAGGAAACACCGACTGCATCCATGGGATCAAAATTATATCTCGACATGCTAACCTATCTGCTTTTCTCATTGATGTCTAAACCTGATCCCTTTATCTTGTTTTTGTTGCTATTCACTTCTATTTTTCTTTGTTTACAGGCCAAATGAGACCATAGTTTCTAGATTCTTGTTTTTGTGTTCTTAATGGGCACACCCTTGAGGTTTATTTGAATAAATAAATAAATAAATTCGGAAGATGTAGAATCGTGCATCGAAACCTATGGCATTTAGAAAGAACTTTTATGCAAGGGCTTTCTTATGGAAACCTCAGTGATTGACCATTAAAGACAGTGTTCACGGTAATTTTGAGGTACCCGCTTTTATTCGAAAAGAGGAAGTATAGGTTGGGAAAGTTTCATCGGTAGTGAAGAAAGCGAGGGGATTCGCCGATCTCGAGAGAATATGGCTCCTTAAAGTAAGGAAAATAGAGGTAGGACGAGATTACCATGACGGAAATAACATGGAAGTGGTATTCGGACGAGATTTCAATTGTTGCAACTGCGCAAACAGCTGACTACAACAAGCCAAAACTGTACAGAACTGCCTTTTACTGTCACTATATCGCTATTGGTCAAGACAAGTTGTTTGAACTTCCTACATGGTCCCTTGTGAACTAGGTCGTCTTCCGAGCTAATAGCGCCAGATATGGTATACGAAGGAACCTCCAATTCATCCTATAGGAAATCTCTGAAACAATTTTTATCGTGAACTGTGCCTTTACGAGGACTTATCTTTCCATTCAACATAAAGGGTACATCAAGCATGCCAACATTTTTCTTGTAACATGGCCGATGCCATGTGTCCCGTTGCTTTGACGTTGAGAGAGTGTCGTTCACGTCTCGAATTACATGAGATTTCTGCTATGAGATAACTTAATTGTTGCTTTCTTCACTTTCCATTGAGTTATTTTCTTTCGTAGTCTACCACATTAATGACGAAAACCCGAAGTGTTGTCCTTCAACAGAATCATCGAGCCATCACTGGGACGAAACGACAAAACCGATCATTCTCGTTACGCATTTCAATGGAAGTTCGACCGAATTCTGGAAGCCGAATCTTGAACGTTTTCCTTTCAGAAAAAAAAAACTCTCGAAACCCTTCACGTAACCTTGAACCGAACCTGGTCGCTCCTTCGTTCGTTTCGGAAATAGGAAAGCCGTCCGCTACTGAAGAGTAGCAGCTCTCCAAATATCGTTATCTACGACTTTCTGAAGTCGTCCCATTGAAAATCTGTTCCATCAGGATTCTTCCGTATAATACATATTCGCCTTCTTTTTCTGACGCAATGGTTTCTTTAGCAACTTCACGTCTACGCTTTCTGACGAGTTTTCCTACGCCTCTTCAGATTCCGAAGTGGGAACGATGTAATGGCGTTCCTACTTCAACGCTCCACGGATCGGATCCATCTCGACTAATCGTCAACCATATCTCTTGAGGCGGCTTAAGTCTTAATGCCAGCTTCCAAACACATGAACTCTTATAAACTTGCATAGTCTCGAAAAATCATTGAATGTACGGAATAGAGATCGAATCGATCGATCGAATACCTTGTTGAATACGTACAGAGGGTGAATACGCATGTGAAACTAAAGAGCTCCCTGCCCGAGATCACTTCAACAGCTGGAGTTTGACTTTCTAAGAACTCCCACGAAGCAAGTGCTTCGTTTTTTTCGGAGCTGTTCTCATTTTGTGTAGACATCTTGAAAAGTGGATGTTGCGAAGAGCAAAAGACGACAGTCACATAATCCTCACATAACTAACTCTTTGCCTAACGTGAAGTGGCTGGAAGTCTCCTCTGCCAAGCGACAACGATGGACAAAATGAGGTCTGTTTTGTTTGTGCGAATGACGTCTAGGAGTCCCGATGAGCGTGGCGCGAGATCACCAGCTACGACAACGGAAAAAAGACATATCAAGCGTCAACCATCTTTTTCTTCTCCTTATCGTTGAACCTCAGCTGTCTCAAGACCTTTGAATTGTTTCAGCTGTTCTTGTGGATTATTGAATTTCCTCCAATATTCTGAATATTCCGCTTTCTCTGGATGAATGATCCCCAGTTGTAGCTCGAGCAGTCACTGGCAAAGACAGTTATGGAAAATACTTTTTGCTGAGAGAATTGCTCAAGAACTATTTCGTTTTGATTCAGTGACGTCTTAACGAAATTCGTGGTCCCTCAACAAGACTCCTTTGCATAAATGTTCATTTTGATGAAAAGAAGCAGGGTTTCCGTTCC